CGACGACGAAGCGGCGGAGGCCCCCGACCAACAGCGCCCCGTGCCGCCTCCCGAACCGCCACCGTTCATCGACCCCTCCGCGCGAGAAGCGGGCGAGTGCCCGGACAATCTCACGGACACCATCGAGATCGCAACACTCACGAACACCACGAGTGTTTATGACGACTGGCTGCATCGCGGCCCCTTCCTCGCTAATCTCGACTTGCACAACTGCGTGACATGCGCCCTTCGCAGCCCACGACCTGTCAAGGCCCGGCTCGCGGACACCCGACGGGTCGAGCACGTTTTTGCTTTCGACGACCACTACGAGCTCGCCAAGTCCCATTGGCAACAACTCAAAACACAGGGCCAACACATACCACCGATGCTGGAGGCCCTCCGCTGTTCACCACCGGACATGCACAATGGCGAGGACAACGCAACGTACAACACACTTATGGGCACTTCGCTTGCTTGCCCTGGACAGAGCCGCTGCAACGACCCCTTGCTGCACCGACCAGCCTTCTTTCCACCGACGGATCCTACCACGTTCAATTGCCGGCAGCAGTGGAAGGCCCGGCGGGCAGAGATTGAGCTCTTGGCAGTGCGAGCGGAGGAAAAGAGCAACGCTGCTAGACGCATTCCCGCCCTTGCAGACATGACTTTGCGCCGTGCCCCACAGTCCTGGCACCGGGAGTGCTCCTCCGCTCGAGCTCTTGTGCTGCCGCTCTGTGGTGGATCCAGCAATGCGGCCGTGCTCTGCCTTGTTTCGCACCCCGCATCCTCCTTTCTAAACGCGCCCCTCCACCACAAGCGCCAATTAACTGTGGCAGAGTTCTCTGCCTACCACCTACGGAGCGCCATCCAGCACCTTGACGGCTTCACCATTGCACGCACCGCGAAACTTACGACGGGCTGCAGGGGGCACGCCGAGGACGAACTCCTCGAGGCACCACCGACGGACGCACCACGCGCCGTCGAGACGGAGTTCCATGGCGGCGAGGGCGTCGACCCGGACGGGCCCGAGAACGAGGTGGTCGACACCGCAGAACGCCCCCCACCACTTCTCGGAGCCCTTGACGAGAAGCAAATGACCGGCATCTCGACACGAGCCAAAGGACTTGAAGCGGCCAAGAGACCCGGTCGGAAGAGCCAACAGCTGAAACAGATAAAGACCTTTGACGACCTTTTCCACACTGTGCTGCACAGCCTGTCGCCCGAGAACGACGTGGAACTTGCACAGGTCCACAGAAGCCATGGCTCTTCCCTCGCCGGGCTCACTGCCGCACTCGACATGCAAGACGCCATCATGAAACACCTGAAACACACCGCCACCATGCAGGGCGACATGCCCGTCGACGACATCGACTTCATGATTCTGGAGGCAGCGTTGCACAACCTGCACCAGCATCAGCGGGAGCGTGAGTGGGTTGACTTGACCGACGCTTTACGAGGCCCGGCACCGTGGCCAAGATGCTCGTTCGACGCTGCCAGGAGCGACGCTCCACGCCGACGCGGCCCTACAAATTCAACGAAGAGCAATTCCAGTGCATTGCCCTCTTCGCGACCCGCCTGGAGCAGGCCTTCCTCGAGCGCCCCGATCCGAGCAAACCGTGGCTCCATCCAGCTCGCGCCCTAATGGCCACGATCATGGACGGCGGGGGCGGCTGCGGCAAGCCGACCTTGAGAACCGAGATCTCGCTGCCCTTACTCGAGACGTTCTTCCACCCCGAGGGAGTCTCACGACGCGCCCCTTCGAACAAACCCGCTCGACTGATCGGCGGTCGCGCCGCACACTCTCGCCAGGGGCTGACGGCCAAGAGCTCCATGCGAACGCACGCTTTGGCCTTGAAGGCGCAGACTCGCAAAAAACTCGCCGTCACCCATGTCGACGCAGCCGCCTCGTATGTAGACGAGTACTCACAACTACAAGGCGAGCTCAACCACGCCGGGGCTCTACGAACCACGTACGCCCGCGAGGCAAAATACGGTTTGAACAAGGGCGTGTACGTCAAGCCTCAGGAGCGGTGGGGGCGCTTACCTGCGGTGCTCTACTCCGGCGACCACTTGCAGCTACCACCAGTCCCCGCCTCGCCCAGCATGCTGGCACCGCTCGAAGGCACTACGAACGAGCACAAAATCGGGGCCAAGATTTTCCGCGACGCGGATTCGGTGTTCGAGTTCCAACAGGCCATGCGCTTCACCGACCACACACTCATCGACATTCTGAACACCATGCGGGCGCCTGGCGGCAGGGCCCTCACGGAGCAACAGTGGCACGCCCTCAAGAACACCGAAGTCAGTGCTGAACAGCCTGACATCCCAGCGTCGTGGTACCACTCGTGCTACTGCCGGAGCGTCATCAGCATGGAAGCGTTCATGCTCGCACGGCAGTCCGCCCGTGAGGCCCGGCAAATTCTATTTTACGTGCAAGCCGTGGACCACGCCAAAGCCATCATACCAGAAATGGACACGGCACAGTTCTACGAGGATTTACTTCGGATACCCGGCATCCAGCAAACGAGACGCCTTCCACCGGCGGTGCTCTTCCATTACGGCATGCGAGTGCGGCGCACGACCGCGATCCAGCAACGTTTTGCTGTGCAGGACGTCGAAGGCACCGTTGTCGGTTTTGACCCGGGCCCCGCCGACCTCACCACGAAAACCAAGCCTCGGTCACCATCCGCCTCGCACACCGCGGAATTCGCATGTCGTTTCATGCCGAAGGCTATTTATGTGAAGCTGGATGACTGCGATCTCCAGCTCTTGCCAACGGCAGTTTGTCCGGAGCATCCCGAGCGCAGCTCAACGTGCACTCGCTGCACCAGTGCTGACAGCCTGGCGCCATGGCCATCTGGCCTTGGCCGCGCACGTTCAAACACTTCTACTCACCAACGGAGAAAGTCAAATACGTCATAGTCTCACGGACACAAATACCGCTGATGCCGGCGGCGGCCGCCCCGCTTTATTCGATGCAGGGCGCCACGGCATATCCCGGCCTGATGGCCTACTGGTTCTTCCCGCAACGATGCTCCGACACCATCCGATGGCTGATTGTCTACGTCATGCTCTCACGGCCTCGCTCATTTGCTACCCTCAAGTCCGTGAATCTGACGAGGCAGATCCGTGACATCATAGAACCTGGTCCGCCCGAAGATCTCGTCGCCAACTTCGATCGACTTTTCCACGAAAAAAATCGAAGCGACGAGGGAGCTGGCACGAGAGACCGCACGTGCCTACGGCCTCCTGCCACAACTCTCTTGAGCGACGCACCCCAGCAGTGCTGCGCAGCCCGCAGCCACAATGTCCACGACAGCAGCCGCGGGCATCATGGGTCGGCACTACAACAACTTCTACAGCAGTCACCACTCGACGACGACGGCGACAAACACGATCGCAGGGGGGCGAAGGGGTTTGGTGCGGTGGTGTGGGCATGGGAACCACCGGCCCTGCGATATACCAAGAATTTACCGATTAACGACCTCACCACGACCGTGTGTTCATCACCCACAATATCTTTCCATGACGACCCGCGACGGCCACAACATGCTTCGTAGCGGCCCATTCTTCGTAGCGGCGGGGCTGCATATCCACTGTGCTGCATAGCCCGTGGCGTCTCGCTACCCGTCCCTCGTTAGCATCCAACAGGTAAGCCTCATACAGTACGGTCATGATGTAGACGTAGTTTCCCCCCCGCTTGCGCACGTTTCCTAGGAGCAGAAGAGCGGCTGTTTGCTCGCAGCAAGGCGCATCCGCGGTGCTGCACAGCCCGCGGTTGCTGGATGGCGTTCGCCGCGGCATGACAGAGCACTGCGGCATGGCAAGATGCAGCGGCCAAAACCAAAGATGTGTTTCGCTCCGCATCCTCCGCCAGCTCCCCATTCGATTGTGCATGTTGCGTTCGAAATTCGTTTCGGGGCCACGGGGAGCCCTGCGAGGTTTGGGCGGGGGGCTTGTCCCCCCTTGTCTCTTCCGAGCGACGCGCCCCAGCAGTGCTGCGCAGCCTGCAGCCAGAGCCTCAGTGGGATGGGCGGCGGGCCTCATTGGTAGCAGACAGAAGTTGACGAACAGAGGTCTAGCCAGCCATTGCTCGAGCGTAGCCGGGGCCGAGTCCAGACCCCCGGCTGCGTGCATCTCGTTATCACCGTACCGCAGCCTTTATTACTCCGGCGCAACCCATGGCAAACCGCTCTCCATCCCAGCGAACCCTCCGCACAGCCGCCGATGTCACAGTCAGCGCAGTGCGGCCCCGACAGCGGTGCTGCGCAGCCCGCCTCGGCACCAGGTGGTGCTGCGCATGTATCAACCAACAGTGCTGAAAGGCCTGGTTCTCGAGACTCTGCCGAGGGCAGCGTTGAACAACCTGCCCCCCAGCACCTCTCGAGACTTTGGCAGACCTTTGGCATTGGGTGGAGCAGCTTCCTGACACAGAACGGAGGACGGATCCTATATGCCGTGCTCGCGAGGCCTTGCGTGTCTTAGAACTCGATACTTTTAGAGATGCCTGGGGGCAGCTGCAGGCTCTGTTGAAATCGTGGGAAATCAAACAAAAGGATCCATCCAACAAAAAACGGAATGCCGTCGAGGTGCACCAGCGCTTGCGCGCGGCAGTGCTCAAGGAAGGGAACAGATTACGAACAGTGGTCTCGTTCAGCAGTCGGGCAAGTTATGAAAATCTGTTCCGAAGGAGCGCTGCACAGCGTGCTGCAGGCGCCAGCCGTCGTGCCCGAAGCCGATCAGCGAGGCGCTGATCCCTGTGCAGTGTTGTACAACCTCGACCACTCACAGAACGCCGCGCAGTGCTGAACGCTTGCACACGCTTCCCAGGAGCAGGAGAGCGGCCGTTTGCTCGCAGCAAGGCGAATCCGCGGTACTGCACAGCCCGCGGTCGCTGGATGGCGCTCGCCGCGGCATGACAGAGCCACGAAGAAATGAAACAAAAACCACGGAGAAATAACTGGCCGCGGACATCGTCAAGGCCGCCAACGAGCATGCGTTTGACATCCTTTGCCACAGCGAACATGGCGAGCTCGGTGTGGGCATTGGGAAAAAAACTCCCAGAAGGCGACGTCATCGACTGGATCCGCAACCTGCTCGCCGACAGTGCGGTATCGACTGTCGCTATCTACGCCGACGGACATTACGCGACTCTCGTGCCGTCCGATCGGGAGGAGGTCCTTCATTACTGGGTCATCAAGGACTTCGTAAAAACCCAGCGGGACAGGTGCTTCCAACACTTCCGTGTTCGCACGAGCGAGCGCGACGAGCCCATATCCATCGTCAATTGCCACGCACCTTCCTCGCAGAAGCGACCGCTGACGGTGGCCAGGCGTCTGCGGTACTTCACCGCATTTCACGAGGCATGCGCCGGTGACCCTCTCATCTGGGGCGGCGATTTCAACGCGGGCTTCATCCAGCTCGCCACCCTTCTCGCGTGGATTGATCATTTCTACATCATGAATTCCAGTGCTGCACAGCCTGGTTCATTGCGAACGGTGTCCTCCCATCCGCAAACATTCAAGCACGGCGACTTAGCGGTGACGCTCGGCCTCTGCAGTGCTCAGGTGACTTCCGAGATTGGGGCCTCATTCAACGGAAAGAGTGATGCTCATGATGTTGTAGTCGCCCAAGTGTTTGGAAACACGAGCCGCCCCGCACCCCGGCCAGAGCCTGAAGCCAGCTCTTCGAGCAGCGCTGCGCAGCCTGCTCGGCAGGAGCCCGCCGGCAGCGCGGGGCCGCCGCCCCCCCAGCAATCCTCGGCACTGCATGGCGCAGAGCGGCCGGAGTGGCCGATGCCCACGCGCCCGGCGCCGCAGCCACAGGCTGAAGCCAGCCCTGCGAGCAGCGCTGCAAAGCCTGCTCGGCAGGGGCCCGCCGGCAGCGCGGGGCCGCCGCCCCCCCGGCAATCCTCGGCACTGCAGAGCGGCCGGAGTGGCCGATGCCCACGCGCCCGGCGCCGCGGCCAGAGGCCGAGGCCAACTTTTCGAGCAGCGCTGCACAGCCTGCTCGGCGGGGGCCCGCCGGCAGCGCGGGGCCGCCGCCCCCCCAGCAATCCTCGGCACTGCAAGGCGCAGAGCGGCCGGAGTGGCCGATGCCCACGCGCCCGGCACCGCGGCCAGAGGCTGAAGCCAGCTCTGCGAGCAGCGCTGCACAGCCTGCTCGGCAGGGGCCCGCCGACAGCGCGGGGCCGCCGCCCCCCCAGCAATCCTCGGCGCTGCACGGCGCAGAGCGGCCGGAGTGGCCGATGCCCACGCGCCTAGCGCCGCGGCCAGAGGCTGAAGCCAGCTCTGCGAGCAGCGCTGCGCAGCCTGCTCGGCAGGAGCCCGCCGGAAGCGCGCTGCCGCCGCCACCCCAGCAATTCTCGGCACTGCATGGGCCAGAGCGGCCGGAGTGGCCGATGCCCGCGCGCCCGGCACCGCGGCCAGAGGCTGAAGCCAGCTCTGCGAGCAGCGCTGCGCAGCCTGCTCGACGGGAGCCCGCGACAGTGCGGCGCCGCCACCCCCCCAGCAATCCTCGGCACTGCATGGCGCAGAGCGGCCGGAGTGGCCGATGCCCACACGCCCGGCACCGCAGCCACAGGCTGAAGCCAGCCCTGCGAGCAGCGCTGCACAGCCTGCTCGGCAGGAGCCCGCCGGCAGTGCGCTGCCGCCGCGCCACCACCGCGTCAACGCGGTCTTCGGCACTGACGACCCCAGCATGGCGCCGCTGCAAGAGGTGCTGGAGCAGATCGGCAGCCAGTTCCTCTTCGGGAAAGTGGCGAACATCGTGGCATCGTCGACGGGATGCTACGAACTGGCGACTGTTCCATGCATCGTCGAGAAGCTGGAAGCCTTTTTGGAGGTCGTCGAGGAGCAGCGCTCCCGCCAGCTGCGACGGCATCCGTCACTAACCTCCGACGCCGTGTTCAGTCACGAGGACATGCAATATTCACCGTGCGTGGATGGAGGATCACGAATGCTGGATGAACGGCGAGACCACTCGCAACTACAACTGGTGGCTTGAAGGAACGGGCAATGGCGACCATCAGAGGGCTCATCAGTTACGGCGTAATGCATTTTCGGCGTCTGTCTTCCAGATCATCGGCAACAAGCACGTGGTGCTGACATCCATTCAGCATCTGATATGCATTGCTGCACAGCCTGCAGATGCGATCCAGCGCTTCATGCGCGCTTGGGAGGAGGAGAAGTCTTCGGACGACTACAAGAAGCGGATGCAGACCTCCGAATGCCTGACGAAGGAGCGAAGAGCTCTGAAAAAAAACCCGCCCACGCAGCTCGGCAAGCACTCGCGCGAGGCAGCAAGATTCACGCAGCCATCCTCCGGGACTCCAATCAGCGGGCCGCCTTGTCGGACCAGGACAAAGCTCTCCTCGACGACTTCATCTGCGGCAGGCTCGCCCGCGTTCGCGACGAGCGTGACGCTGCTTTCGGGTGGGACAAGGAGACGCGGACCGCCGCGGGCAGCGCGGCCAACAGAATCGGGCGATGAGCGCGTCACTTTCCACGGTGCTGCACAGCCCGCGTCAATGGAGGCCTGTCTCTTTGCACGGTGCTGCGCAGCCCGTGCCGCGCAGTCCCCGCGCTGCACAGCCCGAGCAATCTTCTGTGTAGGTACGGACTAGCCGACGCATGGATTGACGTGCGGACGCGGAGGAGCGTGAGCTGGTAGCATACACGCATACATATATACATACCTACATACAGACGTACATACATACACACATACACACCCATACATACATACATAGATACAAACAAACAAACATGCATACATACACCTATACATGCATGCATGCATACGTACATACATACACAAGCATGCATGCATACATACATACACCTATACACCTGTACACATATACACATTTACATGCAGACATGCAGAACACGTATACCTACATACGTACGTACGTACGTACGCACATACGCACATACATACATACATACACACGCACGTACATACATGATGATGTTTATGCACCACCTCCTTCGGCCCCTCTGGGGGCCCTTCTCGTGGCCAGCGCTGGAGTCGCCTCGAGATTCTGGTCACGGGGGTGCCCGGGAGACCGGGGCTTGATTAGTGTTGTCGGTCTCTGTTTCGGTACAACGAGATGTGCGTTGTCCTTGCATACAGGGCCACATTGAGGGGGTGGGGGACCTCATTGGAGCCGCCCTCTTTCCATCCTCCGCGCCTGCTCTGGTAGCCCCCCCAGCCTCCAGGAGGCCCCAGGCCCAGCCTCACACGGCGCCGCCTCTCGGGATACCTCGAGGGGCCCCCCTGGGAAGCCCCGGCGAGAGTTCCATTTTGAAGGGCGAGCCGCCCTCTCTCCATCCTCCGCGCCTGCTCTGGTAGCCCCCCCAGCCTCCAGGAGGCCCCGAGCACCGCCTCACACGGCGCCCCCTCTCGGGATACCTTCAGAGGCCCTCCAGGGAAGCTCCGGCGAGAGTTCCATTTTGAAGGGCAAGCCGCCCCCCCTCCACCTCCGCGCCTGCTCGGGCAGCCCCCCCAGCCTCCAGAAGGCCCCGGGCCCCGCCTCACACGGCGCCTCCTCTCGGGATACCTCAAGAGGCCCTCCAAGGAGCCACCCTCTCTCCGACCACCATTTCTCCTTCCTCCTCCCCATCGCGAAGACGATTCTTCGGGACTGATTCGACGAAGCGGGATCGGTCGACTCCTGCGTCGCGAGCCTGCGCCGCTTGGAACGGCAGACGTCGTCCTGGGCCGGGGCCGGGCCCAGACTCCCGGCTGCGTGCATCTCGCTATCACCGTGCCGCAGCCACTGTTGCTCCGGCGCAACCCATGCCGCGCCGCCGGGCGCGCGCGTCGCCATCCGGGAGCGGCCCCGACAGCGATGCAGCGCAGCCCGCCTCGGCACCAGGTGGCGCTGCACAGCCCGCCGCAGCCTTTGTTGCTCCGGCGCAACCTATGGCAGCCAGCACGGCGTCGGTGCCCCCATCCGGGAGAGGCCCCGACAGCGGTGCTGCACAGCCCGCCTCGGCACCAGGTGGTGCTGCACAGCCCACCTCGTCATCAAGCGGCGCTGCACGGCCCATTTTCTCTGCGCTGCCTGCCAGCGCGACCGAGTTGACAGCGGGTTTCTACAACGTGGGAATCCAGTTGTCGGAGGTGGGTGGGAGAGGTTGGAAGATCAAAGAGCGCCGTTTTGCATCGGACATTGCCAAGGCGTTCCGATTTCATGCGCTGGACATACTTTGCCTGAGCGAGCTCGGCGAGATCCGAAGGGGCATCGGCGAGAACATTCCGCGACGTCTATGCCTGGATTCAAAAACTGCTTGCTGACAGAGCGGTACCGCCTGTCCGTGTGTACGTCGACGGACACTACTCGACGATCGTGACGTCCAATCGAATGGCGGTCCTTCAGTGCAAGCTCGTCAGCGACATCGTGCCGGACCAGGCAGACCGGTGCTTCCAGCACCTCCGCGTTCGCGTTGGCGACGACAGGGAGCCCGTGTTCATCGTCAATTGCCGCGCGCCCGCCTCGAAAAGCGAGGGTCGACAGTGAACGGGCGCAAGCGCGCCTTCCTTGCTTGCCACAATGCGCGTGCGGGGGATCGCTTCATCTGGGGCGGCGACCTCAACGCGGGGGTCATTCAGCTCACCGCCCTAGTGCAGAGTATCGATGACTGCTACACCATTGGCTCCAGCGTTGCACAGCCTGGATCACTGCAGCTGGTCTTCTCTTATCCGTTGAGGTTCAAACACGGCGACCTCGCGACGACCCACGGCCTGCGCAGCGTTCAGACGAATTCCGACGTTGGTGCGTTCTTAGACGGGGTGAGTGGTGCTCATGACCTCGTTGTGGCCAAAGTGTTTGTGCCTCGAGACCTCGAGAAGGCGGATGAGCCTTCGCCGGTTCTGCGAATCACCGCAGCGCACCCTCCGCTGACGCGGGGCGCGACACGCAGCCCGCCGCGCAGCGCTGCACAGCCTGCCACCTCCTCCAACGTGGCACGCAGGCCCGCCACGCCCCGCGGCCCGCGTCAACGCCATCTTCGGCAGCGACGCCTCCGCCGAAGCAGCGTTGCAGGAGGGGCTCGAGAAGATCGGCAGAGATTTCTTGTTCGGCAAAGTGGCGAGCATCGTAGCCTCGTCGGACGGCCGCTTCGAGGCGGCAGCTGCTCCGCACATCACCGAGAAGCTGGAGGAGTTCTTGCGGGTCGTCTGGGAGCAGCGTGCGAATCACATGCGCCGCGCGCTGGGCCTGGACTCCGACGCGATCTTCACGACTTTCCACATGCAAGAGATCCACAAGGAGTATATGAACGACTACGGGTCGTGGATGAACGCGGAAACGGTCCAGGAGTACGAGCGGCTGCGCAACCGGAGGTGCAAGGGCGATGGGCAGAAAGCGCACCGGCTCCGACGAAGCGCTTTCTCCGCGCACTTGTTCCAGATCGTCGGCAACAAGCATGCGCTGCTCTCCGCCATCCAACACCTAATCTGCAGCGCTGCACAGCCTGCAGACGCAATACGGCGGTTCATGGACGCGCGAAAGCAGGAGAAGTCGTCGCCTGACCGCAAAAAGAGGAACGCGACGGAGAGG